GTGCAGTTTGTTATGCATAGTGCAGTTTGTTATGCATAGTGGTTGGGATGTGGAAACAAGAGATAAAGTTGAAATGGTAAGCAGATCATGAAGGGTATGTGGATTTCTGTTTTGGGGAATGATGTGATATTTGGTTAGAGTTGTAGAGTTTTGCCTGTTATGGGTCTTGCCTTAATTTTTACCTAGGATCTTAAGAGGCTTCTACATGCACTAACTGCCTGAGTCCTAACTAGGATACAAGGCTCTATCTACACCTCACTGCCTTCCAACAAGTCAGGTTATACTAAAACATTCCTAGAGAAATACTTGCTTGCTTTTGTGAGACACATTATAGAATGAAATTAGCTATTGTTTTAGGCCTGAATTTGTTGATGGGCATTACCCTTGTAAGCTTTTACTTGTTCACATTTGGGAAAAAAATACTCAAAATTAAACTTTTGCTTTTGTAGTAAATATGCAGGGTTTTTTTTTGTTGTGGTAATGGGGATTGAACCCAAGGCCTTTACACTGAGCTACATCCTCAGCTTTTTTTTTTTTTTAATTTTGAGATTAGATCTTGCTAAATTAGGCTGGACTCAAACTTGTGATCCTCCTCCCTCAGCCTCCTAGGCTGCTGGGATTGATTACAGTTGTATACCACCATGCTTAGCTTGTATAAGCAGTTTTGCAGTTAAAATACCAAAAAAATCAATGACTCTTAAATCTGTCACTATAACCAATCACAGTCTGAGGAGTCACTGATCTTTTTCTTCTGAAATGCCTATTTGGAGGTGAGCTTGTCAACTGAAACTTATGTTAAGGAAGATTCCTAACCTTCCACCCATTTATTGAGCGCTTGCCATAATGTAGGTGCTTTATATGTACTCAACAAATCTCACAACAGTTGAATCATGATGATTATATTTTCCTTGTTTCAGAAAATAGGCTTATGATAGTTAAATAAATTATAGTGGCGATTTTAGGGTTTGAACCTAATTTTAGTTTATACTCATGCCATTTTTCAGTATTCATTTGTTTTTGTATTAAGTTGTGGTAAATGAATATAAACTTTGCACTATAAATTCAGATTTCTTGAGTATACACTTGGTGATATTTAAGCAACATAGCTTTGTTTCTCTTTTGAAAGATGAGGTCACTAGCCAAAGACCTTGGGTGTTTGAGGGTTGGTTTGTTTGTTTGTTTTGATTGTTGTTGTTTTGGGCAGTTTTGGGGATTGAACTGAGAGCCTTGTGTATGTTAGGTAAACTATACCACTGAGCTACCTCCCTAGCCTTTTCTGTTTTTATTTTGAGACAGTCTCCCTAAATTGCCCAGTCTTGCCTCAAACTAGTGATTCTTCTGTCTCAGTCTCCCAAGTACCTGAGATTACAGATATGGGTCATCACACCGTATTGAGAATATTTTGTAATGTGCTTAATGAATTCTGTTAGTCAGGTTTTGGAGGTATGTTTGTGATATTTGTGGGTTTTAGGAGCCTGCATGCAACTGATATTTTGCTTTTGAGTTGAATCTAATTGAAGAAATCTAAACATATTGGGATTATGTCTAGCAGTGATTTGAATTCTTCTGAGTACAAATAATTTTGCTAGCTAGATCTTGTTGCTCAGGATCTAGGTGGCCTTTGCTTAGGAATGGTGGTCAAATCTAACCATTGTGCTGACTTACTATTTGGAGAATGTGGTTTATTAGTGGGATTAACATTGTTCCCCATATCTCCTCAGGCCTCCTGCACAAATGTTGATCTGTAAAACCAGAGACATGCTTAGTTCCATAATAAGGGTTCTTTGTGACCCTCTGAGGAGTTTTAGGGTAAATAGTAAAATCCTTTTCCTCAGGAAATAGCCGACTTCTGAAATTACATTAAATAGTACAAAAGCTAAAAATAGAAAAAGATTCAAGAATTATAGCAATTAACTAAGGTGACAGTAGTGATGTTGGGGTTCCATCCGGTATCAGGATGGCTCAATAGTTACCTTTCTACACTGTGTACTTTGCCTCTGTAGATCCGGGATTGAACTGGATGGACCCTAGGGATTTGTGAGTCGTAGCTCAATGTGTATGGAGCTTGTACTTTGTTAAGTCTTTATGTGTACTCTCTCATTTAATCATTTTAATGGCCCTAAAAGATAGGTACTGTTGTTGATTCCAGTTTATAGTATATTTGGGTCAGTCTCTATGAGATCATATGGACTTGGAGTGGAAGAAGGGTAAGTCTCTAAAGAAAAATCAAGGTGCGGTTAGCAGAGGAGGGAATGGTTACTGGACAGATGAAACAATGTCTGCTTCTATTTTTCTTAGTTTTTTTTTGTTTTTGAGTCATCTTCTCTGTGTTTGTGTTTGATCTAGTTGCTTGGAGTTTGGAATATTAGTTTTTATTATTTATTTATTTATTTTTAACAGTATGAAAAATTTATTGAGAGAAACATAACTTTTCTCTAAGAGAGACAGAAAGGGGACCGGAAAGTGGGTTGACTGACCCCCTCCTTCAAAAGTGACTTTGAACTTTCTTTTTTTTTTTTTGATACCGGGGATCAAATTAGGACCTTGCGTTTGTGAGGCAGGCTGAACTTTCTGATTCTATACCTTTCTTTGCCTAGATTCTGATGTAGAGGCTGGATGTGTCTTTTTAGCTCATCTTGCATTTGAGTACTTTTCATAGTGCATCAACAATTGTTCTAAGCATAGAAGCAGTTCCGTAGATGGTGAGACCTAGTCTTTACCTTTGAAGAGCTCATTACCTAGTGCAGGAGGCAGGTATTTAAATCATTCATTTATCATTTGGTAAGAACTGGGGAGGCCCTTTTCTGCTTTTCATGTTTCATAGTGGTGGTTAATAATTGAGCTGGATCTTGAAGGATTAATAATAGTTTTTTAACCAAGTGGAGGAAGGAAAGCAGTAAATAGGAAGGCAAGAAAGCACGTACATGCTTCGTAAGTGGTGTGACCAAAACAGCAGAGAATTGCAAAGGACTTTAAGAACTGTGTGACTCCTCTGCAACTTGAATCCCTGTTCTGCCACATGGCTGCCAGTTGCCCGTTCGTCTTCTGGTTGCCCAGCTCTGATGACTGAAGAGGCTCTCACATTCCTGTAGTCCTAGTTGTATCCCCCTCCTCCCCCTCCTCCTCTTCCCCACTCCTCATAATCAACATCTGCAATGTCGGGGATTGAACACAGGGGCTCACAAGTGCTCAGCAAGTGCTTGAACACTAAACTACATCCCTAGCTCCTTTTTGGCTATATTTTGTGGCAGGATCTCATTAAGATGAGGCTGGTCTCCGATTTGTGATCCTCCTGTCTTAGTCTCCTGAATAGCTGTGATTACAGATGTGCACCACTGTGCCAGGCTTGCTGTATTGTTGAATTTACTGTTCATATTTAACAGTTTATTTTTTGCTAGGGATTTAGCTCAGTGGTTCCACCGCCTGGCTTGCAAATGCAAGATCCTGAGTTCGATCCCCGGTACCCCCCCCCAAAATAATGTTTTTATTAACAGTTTATTAACATGTGCTAGGCATGTGATGAGTGGTAAAGGAATACAGTGTGAACAAAACAGGCCAGGTCCATACCCTTGTGGAAAAGTCGGACGCTGACCACATGATTCTGTGTTGATGAAGGCTATGAAGAAACAGCCATAGGTGTTAACAGATAATTATAACTGGGGAATTGATTTTGTGAGAGAAGAATGAAGGAGGCCAGAGAAAGCTTTGCAGTCTGACAATGAGTAGAAAACAAATAGGAGTAGGCAGTCATTCTAGGAAAAATACAACTTTGATCAACTGTGTAGAGAGGACTTACTTTGCCATTCACTGTGATTGATTTTTCTAGTGTGATAGCTATGTGTCACAGACAAATGTAGCTTAGGCTTTTTGGATATGAAGTGTGCTTTGAGAGTTGTTTATTCCAACCTGAATAGTATATGTATTTAAAAAAATTTTTTTTGTACTGAAGATTGAATCCAGGGCTTTGTGCATGCTAATCATGTTCTTTATCAGTGGAGTACACTTTCAGCCTGAATATATTTATTATGGAAGAATTGCTTCTATTTGTGTGGGGGCAAAAATTTCAGCATCTATGAAAATTTTAAATAAAATTAACCTGTTTGATATGTAAGTTCTGATTTTATTTTGCTTTTTTTTCAGAATAGAACATGATAGATATTAAATGAATTGTAATCTTCCACTGAGAGGTTTTTTGCATGTATGTGGTGGTACTGAGATTAAATGCAGGTCCTCATACATGCATACATACATGCATACTCTACCACTGAACTATGTTCCTCACTCTTTTTTTTTTTTGGTTCCAGGGATCGAACTCGGGTCCTTGCGCTTGCGCAGCAGGCGGTGAAACCACTGAGCTAAATCCCTGGCCCATATGTTCCCCACTCTTACTGTGAATTTTTAATCCAGCTGAGATTTGCATGCTTAGTCTCAGTTATGCTGTTGCTTGAGTTCCTACTATATGCTAAGCATTTTATATTGGTATCTTCTTTAAGCTTCATTATTATTCTGTAGTAATTGCCGTTATCTCCATTTTTATGTAGGAAGATGATGGAAAATCAGAGAGGGGTATATAATAGCTAATTGTTAGTGGTAAGATTGAAACCCAAATTGACCTTTTTTAAAAAAAAAAAACTTTCTTTTTTTTGGTACTGGGGATCAAACTCGGGTCCTTGCGCTTGTGCAGCAGGCGGCAAAACCACTGAACTAAATCCCTGGCCCGTTCACCTTTTTTTTGAGTCAAGGTCTCACTATGTGTTCCAGGCTGGCCTTGAATTTGCTGTATAATACAGTCTGGCTTCAGACTCACAGCGATACTCCTGCCTCAGCCTTCCCAGTGCTAGGATTGTAGGTGTGTTCTACCATACCTTGCTCCCCAAAATGATTTCTGAGTTTGAATTTTTTCCCCCACTATATGATATATATACTTGATCAGTCATACTTGGAATCAGCTTGGAGCAATTCACAAATCATAATCTTTTTTCCTATTATTTTCTTTTTAGGTTTTTGTCAGGATGAATTGACAGAGCTCGATCCAGGCACTAGTAAGTTCTGAATGTTTCCCACTGTATGTTTCACACAGATTTTTTTTTTTTGGTACTGGGGATCGAACTTGGGACCTTGTGCTTGTGAAGCAGGGTGCTGAACCACTGAGCTAAACCCCTGGCCCCTCCCACTGTATGTTGGTAAGAAACAAATGTGTGTATATGCCTTTTAAATGTGTAACTTAAGGTGTCATTGAAAAGCTTTGTGTAATTGATTCACTTTATTTCACTTTAGTTTATGGTTATCAGAATGGTATTCTGTTTTTTACAATATGCTTTCTTTTTCTTTTCCATATATTGCTCAGTGGCCCTGGCCATTTATAGAAAGTTGGTTTGCTAAAACTTTCTCTTTAGGGCCGGGGATTTAGCTCAGTGGTTGCGCCACCTGCTGCTCAAGTGCAAGGACCTGAGTTCGATCCCCGTTACCAAAAAAATAAATAAATAATTAAAATAAAAATTTCTCTTTAGTACCAGTCTTGCTCTGGCCCCCATCAGCCTATGAATCCAGCAGCAATAGCAAAAATTGTAGTCTTAAGGCCGGGGATTTAGCTCAGAGGCACTGCGTGCATGCAAGGTTATGAGTTCAATCCCCAGTACCTGCCCCGCAAATGTAGTCTCACAGTCACTTGGCTAGTTTATAAATTTATAATTAGCTTTGGTACCCATTTAATTTGTAAAGTATTTGCATCTACATTCTTACTGGGACCATTTCAAGGTCTAGTTAAATGATAATGCTTTTCAGGACTTGAATTTAGAATAGTACCCGAGCTTATTCTCCCTTTATATCCTTGGTAGCAACTGAAAATTGATCATGACATTTACTGCAGAAGGCTTCTGATACTCTCATAAAAGCTGTTGAATTATTCTGCTTATTGGGCCAAGTAATCTAGTTCATTTAATATTTATGTATAGAATCTCTATGATGATATACAGACCTCTCCATTCCACTCAAGTGGGCATAGTTTCATGTATCAGTACAGAATGGAAGTCACCAAAAAAAATCATTTTTTTTTGGTACTGGGGATTGAACTCGTGTCGTGTCCTTGTGCTTGTGCAGCAGGCGGCGAAACCACTGAGCTAAATCCCTGGCCCCCCGAAAAATCATCTTTGAAGAGAAAAATTATACTTTAATGGGTTGGGATATAACTCAAGGGTAAAGCACTTGTCTAGCATATGCAAGATCCTGAGTTCATTCCCCAGTATGAACAAAAGAAAAAGTAGTGTACTGGCTAGTATTCTTAGTAATTCTTACATTTTTATCTTTGTGAAGTTAATATTTTTAACTTAAAATTTTTTTTTTTTTACTTTTAAAAGTATTTTTATCTTTTCTCTTTAAAGAAATACATAAAGTTTTGATGATTATAGTAAACAGGCAAAAAGTAAAAATTTAACATCTCAGTTTGTAGCAATCCTCTTGCCTCAGCCTCCCAAGTGCTGGGATTACAGGCCTTGTGCCTCCACATGTGGCAGATCTTGGGATTCAAATGGATACATTTAGAACTTTGAAGATATAGGAAGCCTGAAGACTGAGAATGGGATGTGTGTGTTGTATTAAATTGATTCTGGTTTTTAATACTGCAAATTCTGAGGGTTCTGACTGGAAAAGAAAAAATATGTCCTGTGTTACATCATGGCAGTTGCATGTTAGATTGAGAATAATAGGAATTTTTTTTCATTGTATCTTTGGAATTTGGAAGCCCCCCATGTTCTCTCCTCCCAATTTCCTGGTAAGGCGTGCCTGCTCACACTTGCTTATTTTGTAACAGGAAATACCTTTCCTGATAATTTCCACTTGTGGTTGACAGTGGTTACAGATAGTAGATTTGGAAGAACAGGTGGGATATGTTGGAGCTAGTTAAGGAAAGATGACTTTTGTCCAATTCAGATGGCCTTTTTCATCTTTTCTCTGGTAGAGCAGATGGGCAGCTATGCTTAGAATATAGGCAGCTGTTCACATTCTGGTTGCCTTCTTACGATCCTGGGCTCCTGGAGTCCAATGTTATAGCACAGGTTCAGGCTAAGTTCATTTCTAAAGAAGTTCCCCTATACCATGCCTGATGGCATAAGCTAAGGGCAGCCAAAGGTCAAGAGAAGTTCAAAAAAGCATAACCTTTCTGTGTTTCTGTTTCCAAATAACCCTAGTCTGCCCTGCTCCCTGAATTTTTCCCTCAGCCATCATGTTTACCGTGTAGTTGTAAAACTCAGTAGAACAAGGACTGACTTGATACAAGGGAAGTTAGAGAATAGATGTCATTGTTGCTTAAAACAGGAGAAATAATTGATTTATGTTTGGGGGCCAATGAGGCTATAAAACAGGAACAGTTAAGGGACCTGTGACTTCAGGATGGCTCTTGCTCTGATTTCTGTCCCACAGACAAGAGGCTCCCCAATAAAGGCTGTCAGCTTTCTAGGCTAAATTATTAATTCCTTTCATGCCTCTCAGGGATTGTAAACAGCACATAATACAGGGAAACAATTGGTACTGTTCAGTTATTGGGCAGATAGAGGGTCAAAGGGTAAATAGTTAGATTAGCAACAGCTGTTTGTCCTCCCCAGTTGAACTTCTGTCTCTTATCTATTTCAGCTAAGTAATTTTTTAATTTTTGGCTTACCTATAATAAAATCTATTTCTTCTCATATCCTAAAATAATTACATTGAGCATAAACACAGACCAAAATTGAAAACACTCAGTTCCAGTTACATTTCTAGAGTTGAAGATGAACATTATTTTTGTTTGTGTTATGTAGTCTGATGTTCAGAGACTACCATCACAAGGAAAGGAACTACTCGAAGTTAGAGGAGTTAGGAGCTTTTTAGTCATTGTCCCCCCACCCCAACTGGTTGAGGGTTCGAGTGCAGCTTAATTAAAACAAATTGCCTTTGTTTAACCTAGTAGAAGAATCATATATGCTCATTGTGGAAAACACTGAAAGACAAATACAAGCAACCCTAATTGCATCACCTAGAAATAACCATTGTACCTCATTTGACAACATGCTCTTCTTCGTGTCTGAGCTCATCTTTTACATAGTTAAGAATCATATTTAACTGTTCTCCTATTCTTGGGCTCTTAGGTTGTTTCCACATTCTAAATAATGCCCACAGGGAACGTGTTTGCTTCTAAGTTTTTCATCTGCATTTCAAATGAGTGCTTTAGCTTTTTGCATAGACAAAAACTTCTGAATTAAGAGCATGAACTTTGGCTCATGATTGCTTGGGCTCAGCTTGGCTTCAATATTTATGAATTCTGTGAGCTTAGTTATTTAATCTTTCTGTGTCTTAGGTTTCTCATCTATAAAGTGGGGATAATAAAAGTTTATTTCTATTTATTAGGGCTGTTTAAGGCTTAAATGAACTAATGTTTAAAAGGTTTAGAATAAAATAATCCTTGACAAATGGTATGACTCCCTCCCCCTTTTTTTCCTTTTGAGGCACTGGGGATTGAACCCAAGACCTTCACACAAAGTTTGAGTTGCTAAATTGTCCAGCTGGGGTCGAACTTGCAATTCTCCTGGCTTCATCCTCCCAGAGTGCTGAAATTACAGGCGTGTGGTACTACCCCCAGCTTACACACTATTAAATGTGTGCTATTTTTGCCTATGTAGTGGATTGTTGAAATTCTCAGGTTTGTGCTAATGGGCTATTGTAACTGCTTGCTTGCTTATTTATTTATTTGGTATGGGGGATAGAACTTGGGACCTTGAGCTTGTGAGGCAGGTGGCAGAACCACTGAGCTGAATCCCCGGCCCTGTTAACTGCATTTTATTAATGACGTGTAGATGAATCATTCCAGATGTTAGCAAACGTAAGTTATTGCGTCAAGTAAATAGTTCAGCCACAGGGACAGAGCTCATGTACTGACGACCATTTTGGCAAAGAGTGTTCTTTACCATCTGGTTAACTGTTAGGGTTTATCCCTCTTCCCCCACCAGCAGCAGGTAACCTCCCAAATGACCTCTGCTAACCCATTTATTTAACATCTTAGGAGGCTAAAGAAGTTAACCCTCTGCTTTGTAAAAACAAATACACAGGTTATGTACTTTCTTTTTGTTTAATAGCAAGATCTAATGGGAAGCATTCTGAGGGAGACCTGACAGTTAAATCATTGGACTCTTGCCATACTGGTAAATTTCCACCAAGCAGGGATCTGTGGGTGATGGCAAGGTAAAAAATAGCTTTTTGTTACTGCATCTCACTATTAACTTGCACTGACTTTACATTCAACTGTCAGGTATCTTTAGGAGTCTCCCAGGGACACTTTTGTGCCCATACACCCATGTATAGATGTAGTTACCACAGGCTGCCCAAAATTCCAATAGTTCATGTCTTAATGGTTGTAGTTGTCACACTGCATGTTGCAGTTTTTGGTATCAGAAAGCAGTTCATGTAGGGCCAAGGACAGTATTACATGCAAAGAATGAATTTAAGAGAGAATATTAGAGATTGAGAAAGAAAAGAGAATTGTCATTTCCATATGTACCAGGCACATTTCGTATATTCAGTAGCTGTGAGAAGAGTTCTATCTTTTTTTTTTTCTTCAAACTCAGGACCTCATGCTTGCGAGGTAGGCATGGTGCCACTGAGCTAAATCCTCGGCTGTATCATTGATGAAATACTTAATTTCACGTTTAACTTTGTGTAGTGGCTTTTACCATATTATAATAATGATAGCTGATACTTATTTTGTAATACACAAAGTGCTTTGCATGCATTTTTAAATTAAGACTGTCCCTGTTTTACAAATAAGACCTGTGAAATTTGAAGGATTAAATGACTCACCCCAAAGTCATGGTGATATATGACTTCAGAGCCCCTGTTTGACTAATCTGTTTGGTTGGTGGCTCTCTTAATTGTGAAGTCTTGGGTACTAACAATGGTAGGAGAGTTTAAGGCAGTATAATCATTTATAGCATAGATAGTGGGGCTTTTTATGCACAAAAGAATGAAGGCTATTTTTTAAGTGTCATTTGGGCATCTTTTTCATATATTGGGATGATTTGGACAAAAGTAGAATAGGCTCTGAAAGAGATTTCTTTTCAAGTTCAGGATTATTCTGTCAGTTATTAGGCAGGTTCTTTCTTGAAGCACAGTAAGCTAAATTCACAAATCTCTGCTTTTTCCTCCTTACGTTGCCTTTTTTCCACAACATTGTGTTCCCGATTTGAAGCCTGCTTCCCAAGCTTCAGCTGAATCTTCTGGGTCACTGCTAGATCACATCTCCTGAATGTGGCCTTTACTGGGGAGTTCCTTCTCATAAGGATTCTTTTGAACAGGGTGAGGGTGGTATGAGATCCAGAGCTTAGGTGGAATTCTCATCCCCTTGACCTCTGCCCCTGTTTCAGAGTGTATACTGACTTGTAGGGACTCTCTGTGGAGCCAAGAGTTTAGCACTTGTTTACAGTTGATGAAAAGATAGTTGCATTCAAAGGCCCTTGAATAGCCATGGACGTCTACCACTATCTCTGGTTGGTGCAGGGAATGCTTGAACATCTAAATCTGGAGATTTGTAATGAATGACTAAGGAATGAAAAAAACCCCTGAGGCCAGATAGGTTATAGCAGTTGTTCTTTTGTGGGAGCAGTGTTGTAACATTTTGAGATCAGGGAAAGGATTCTTACAAATCTTTTTAAAAATTTCCTTTAAAAAAGCTGAAAGTGGTTGCTTAAATTCAATACATGGTAACAGGAAGAAAGTAGGAATTCTTCTCTTACTTTTTGGATGTCTCAAACAAAATTTGCTGTGTTGTATAAATAATATCAGTATTGAAGAGATACTATAGATTAAAGTGACCCTCTTCCAAGGTATGCATAGTTTATTTATTTATTTATTTTGGTACCAGGGATTGAACTCAGGACCGTGTGGTTGCAAGGCAGGCACCGAAACCACTGAGCTAAATCCGTGGCCCTTTATGCATGGTTTTATAAATGAGCATTTTTTCTAGACAGTCTTCTGGTCCTCTAAGTACACTGAGAGTATAGCACCTCAATCCCAATGTGTATTTTTTTCTCTTTTTGAGGCAGGTTTTCATTATGTAGTCCAGGCTGGTTTAGAACTCTCAGTGATCCTTCTGCCTCAGCCTCTTGAGTACTGGGATTACAGGTGTGTGCCAACATGCCCAGTTCCCCAAATAAGTTTTTAAATTCCTTCTCTAGGCATGCTTAGCCTCTGCCTGAAGTTGTTGTTTTTAGGTTGAGTTTCTGTTGTGCCTATAAATCTGAAAGAAAAGCTGTCTTAGGAGGGTACTGACAGTCACTGTGAACCCAAAGTGAACATGCTCCATGGGTAAGCAGAGTAAAAGATTACATTGCAGAATAGTAAGATACAAAATGAAAATACAGTATATTTTTTTCATCTGTTAGTACAGCATTCCATATGCTAAGTATAGTCTGATCTATTGGTGTGTCTAGACTTATTTGGACAATGTTTAACTAAAAGCATGTTAGTTGTCAACCTTTAAAACCTGCAGGCCGCCGCCTGCCTCGCAAGCACAAGGACCTGAGTTCAATCCCTGGTACCAAAAAACCTGCAGGAGTTTTATGAATACGGATTTCTTGATTTCTTGGTAAATTGAAGCTCTGATACAGAGATTGGCTTTCTGTGTGATGATACTTCTTGCTTGGAACAGCGTGGTGGCTGCCCTCTTAGATGAGCCTCCACTCTCAGGGTTGTCCCAGACCCGTGTGACCTCCTTCACCTCTGTCTGTCTCCTGTCAGTCTTTTGTAGGCATGTAAGTATATAACACTTCAGAGATGAAGGTGTAGGAAAATGGGAACTCTTATAATAATAGCTGTCAGAACTGATAATGTGTTTGTTTTTGTAGATTTAGCAGTTTAAAATTTTTTTTTTTTTTGATACTGGGGATCAAACTTGGGCCCTTGTGCTTGCACAGCAGGTGGCGAAACCACTGAGCTAAATCCCCGGCCCCAGCAGTTTAAAATTTAAAAATACAAAATTAAAAAGTTCACATTTAGCAGTTTACAAACCAGGAATTTATTCTAAAGAAATGATGATTATGCAAAATATGTAGTCACAGATACTCCTTTTAGTCTTTGTTAATAGTGAAAAAATTGGAAACACCTCAGAAGTTTAATAGGGGGCTAATTAAATGCATTGTGGTCATTCATGTAGCAGAATGAATGCTACACGTGTTAAGAGGAAGGCACATTGGGCTGGGAATTTAGCTCAGTGGCTCCACTGCCTGCCTTGCAAGCTCAAGGACCCGAGTTTGATCCCTAGTACAAAAAAAAAAAGAGGAAGGCACATTTTCATCTGGAGGAAATGGAATTGTTTATGGTGGTATCTTTGGAGGAAATGGAATTGTTTATGGTGGTATCTTTGGAAAAAATGGAATTGCAGAGAAACTCATAACTCTGTGACTTAATTTTTTACAAGGATTGTTCATTATTAAGAAAAAAAGATAAATATTCTTTAAAAATTTTGGTTCTCATTTCAGCTGCTTGTTTCCAAAGCTGTTCTGCCAAATTGAGCCAGTTAGACCCTTGCTTGCCTCTTAGAGTGCAGGTGTTACATTCAGAATTCTCTCTTGAAATTGCTCTAAGGAAGGGACACAAGTAGCAGCCCAAGAACAGAATAAAAGCCTACAGTAGCATTTTTAGGGTTCTACTTGCAGCTCTACTTCTGTTTGCTAATAAAACTATCAGAATTGGCCTCCTTTTCAGTGTTACAAGGCTGAGCTGGGACTATCAAGAATGAAAGGACCCTGGAGTAGCTTCACATGTGAATTGGGCTGTCCTGTCAGTTGCAGGGTTAGTAACTGGGAGTGGTCCTACTGAAATGCCTGGCATGTGGGACAGTGGAAAAACCTGACGTTTGGATCCTGGTATAGCAACTTGCGGAGTGACCATGGGCAACCTGGGAAGCAATTTCTTCATCCATAAAACAGTAATCATTCCTCTTAGAGGTGGTTTTAAAAAACAGTATAATACTATATATGTGAATTTCTGTTAGAGTCAATCCTGCATCTTTCTCCTTTGCTGAAATACAGATTTCTAACTTTCTGGGGGGGGGGTTAATATTTAATGAGCACTTAGAGTATGCTGAAGTCCTTAAAACATTATTTGCTCTTCTTGGGAGCTCTGTGAGATTATTCTCAACTCTTGTTCTCTCCATTTTACAGATGAGGAGACTGACAGTTTAACACTTGGCCAAGGTCACACAGCTGGTAAGTGGCAGAACTAAACTGTGTGATCCCAAAAGCTGTGTCCTTTTTATCTTTTTAAAATTGAGGTGTGGATTTACATACAATGAAACACACAGATCTAAAGCAAAAAATTTAAGCAGTTTTCACAGATGTGTGCACCCTTATAATCCGTACTTCATCAAGGTAAGAACATGTTCATCCTTTCAGAAAATTCTCTTTGCTTTTCCTAGTTTACCCCACTGCTCACTTCCAAGAACCACTAACTTCTGATTTCTGTCCTGATTGACTGGTTTTGACTGTTCCATTGTCATAGACACATGTGCTCTTTTGTGTTCTTTTTTTTTTTTTTTGGTACTGGGGATCGAACTCAGGTCCTTGTGCTTGCGAGACAGGTGGCAGAACCACTGAGCTAAGTCCCCGGCCCTCTTCTGTGCTCTTTTTTCAACACAATTATGTGAGACTAATCCCCGATACAAATATTAATAGTTTTTTTTATTACTGAGTGATACTCCATTGACTGTGTGACAGTTTTATCTGTTCACGTGTTGACACCTGGCTGTTTCTCATTTTCAGCTATTACTAATAAACCAGCTACACAATTTCTTGTACAAGATTTTTATGGATACATTTTTATTTCTCTTAGATATACCTAAGAAATGTTGGGTTATATGGTAGATGTGTGTGAAGCTTTTTATGAAATTGTCAGTTTTCCAAAATCTATACATTTTATAGTTCTAGAAGTATGAGTTCCAAATATTTGATAACATTTGCAAACATTTTATTTATCAGTCTTTAATTTTAGTCATTCTAGTGAGCATTTTGTAATGGGATTGATGTGGTTTTAATTTGCATTTCCCTGATGACTGAGTTGATCATGTTTTCCTGCTCTTACTGGCTGTTCATATATATCATCTCTTTAAAGTGCTTAAGACTTGGCCATTAAAAAATGTTCTTTGCTCATTTTTATTGCCTCGTAGGCATTTTTTTTTTTTGTACTGGGGATCGAACTTGGGACCTTGGGCTTGCAAGGCAGGTGGCGAAACCACTGAGCTAAATCCCTGGCCTACCTTGTAGGCATTTTTGTTCTTGATGCAAGCTCTTCATCAAATATGTGTTGTAATTTCTCCTAGTTTATGGCTTTGGCTTTTACTTTTTAACTTTTTTTTTTGAGACAGGGTCTGCCTATGTAGTTCAGTCTGGTCTTGAGCTCACTATGTAGCACAGGCTGGCCTCGAACTCCAAACAATCCTCTTGCCTTAGGTATTACAGGTGTGCGCTACTATGCCCGATACAAATTTTCACATGTTTTATGATGATCAGGGCTTTTAAAAGTTTTTATGGAAACTAAATTTTTTGAATTTATGATTAATGCTTTCTCTGTCTTCCCTAAGAAATCTTGGCCTAACCTAAGGTTACAAAGATAGATATTCTGTATTTTTCTGTTAGTTTTATAACATTATTTATACTGATGTCTGTACTTTATCTTTAATTTTCGTGTATTATGCAGTAGGAATCAAAGTTTTTATGTGAATATTCATTTGTTCCATCACCATTTGTTGAAAAGACTTTCCTTATTGTATATTTTGATGTTCTTGGTGAAAAACAATTTGTGTGTTTACCTATGGACTTTCTATCTCTTTCAGTTTTTCTTTTGTTTCACAAGTATCATGATTTCTTGATTGCTTTAGCTCTATAATAAATCTTGAAATTAGGTAATGTTAGTCCTCCAACCCAGTTCTTCCTTTTCATAGTTATTTTGGCTTGGTTTTTTTCATTTTTATGTAATTTAGAATCAGTTGTTCATTTTTTAAAAACAAAAAGCTTAACAATTTAGAGTGTCTTAATATTTTTTTTTTTTTTTTTTGGTACTAGGGATTGAACTCAGGTCCTTGCACTTGCACAGCAGGCGGTGAAACCACTGAGCTAAATCCTCGGCCCAATTTTTTATTAATATTTAAAAAATTTTAGTGTTGAGATCTTATACATCTTTCTTTAAACTTACTGCTAAGTATTTTGTTTTGTTTTGTTTTATTTTGTTTTTGGTACCAGGAATCGAACTCGGGACCTTGTGCTTGTAATGTATTTTGGTTTTTAATGCTATAATAAATCATATTGTGGGCCGGGGATTTACCTTAGTGGCACCGCGCCTGCTTCACAAGCACAAGGTCCTGAGTTCAATCGCCAGTACTGAAAAAAAAAATCATATTAACATTTATTTTCTAATTGTTACTGTTATATAGAAATGCAATTGATTTTTGTATATTGAGCTTGTACCTTGTAACACTGTTAAATTTGTTTACTAGTTCTAGTAATTTAAGAATAAATTCCTTGGGATGTTTTATGTATGTATCTGTGAATAAAGACGTCTTCCTTTTTGATTATGACTTTTATTTTTATTAACTTAATGCACTGGCTAAGATTTCTAGTTCAGTGGCAGACAGAAGTGATGAGAATGACATTCTTGCTTTGTTCCTAATCCTAGGGAGAAAACATTGAGTTTCACTATCAAGTATAATGTTGGTTCTTGGGTTTTCTTTACTTTTTTTTTTCCATTAAGTTTATTGGTACCTTTTAGGTATAAAATACAGTTAAATTCATCATTGGGATCTTGTACCTTTACATGATGTATCTTGGTTCTTATTTTTTTCCCCTTCCCCTGCCCTCCCTTCACC